TCAGGTAATGTGATTACTATATGAATAATTGTCCAAAATAACATTAAATGTATAGGGTTTTTTGTTAAGTAACATACTTTCGTCGCCGGCCCCGCCGCACCATTTGCAAAAGAAATAAGCGTTCGTTTTGCTAATGTAGCGTTAGCTAGTGGTGCGTTAGCTAGTGCAGCAGCTCCCGCAACAACACCGGGGGACCTCCGGGCGACGTTTGGCTCTACGTCAACCCTAAAAGCGGAGGTGCTGTAGACGCTAAATACCGTAGCTAAACACCAATCATACAACAGCAACGATGAAATAGTGTAGCCAATTTAATTTAAGTTCTCAAAATGTTCCCCGTGTGGTTTATTCACCATTACAATCGCCCCACCTAAAATAATTTCCACCAGCCGCCACTGTATTGCTATCTATACGGTATCTATCGCTCTTCCCTCTACCGCTCTACCGTAGACCGGAAGTTTACAATCACACACTCAATGAACCGGAAATGGAAATACGTCATCCTGTGCAAATGGCCTATAGAGCAAATAGAGCAAAATGAGGCATGGCTAAAATGCATGATCTGTTTGGTATTTTGAAAAAAAAACTTCACAGACTTGTTTTATATAGGTATGGCCCTACAATATATTTTTCAAATATAGCATGATAGGTCCACTTTAAAGTTCATTTTGAAGATAGAGTTCTCTTCATGTTATCAATTTGATGTGTTTATTTAAATGTTTGTATTTAAATGTTGGCACTGCTTCAGTGAACTTTGTGGATTTAATTAAACTCTGAATAAACTAAATATTGGTGTTCTGCCTGTTATGAAGGGTGGCACGGGAAGAAAATGTTATTACTGTTGTCATATTTAGATAAAGTATTATACAGTTATTTTTATTAAGGCCTAATCATGGGTGTTGTTAATAAACTTCTTCTTCTGGATTCTTCATTGGTTTTGGTGGACAATATACTGTAGAGATGTTTAACTTAATTTTTTTGTGACACATTTATCTTCCTCCCCTTGCTGTTCTTCCTATTTTCCAAACTGTAGGCCTATCATTTGAAGAGCATTTTGTGAAAACACAGGTTTTACAAGTATTTATAGAGAAATGCGGTGTACTTGGAACCTTTCTTGTTTGAAACATTAAACCACATGAAATTAATTGAGCATAATGAACAGAAAAAGTTTGTTTTAATTCATTTATCTAAATGTGCTAATCACTCAACTGAAAGCAGCAGACGACAAAGAGAAGGAGTCTGCCCAGCACCAAACAGCTAGGGAACATTGTCGGAGCATTTTGCAGCTAAAGGGGCAGATACTTCCTTCAAAGCTGAAATAATAATAAGATTGGACTTACATTCATTAGAAACACGAATCCAGATCAATGAAATACTGCCCCGTAGCTGCTTTACTAACAGCCTAAAAAAGGCAAAGATCCATGGAAATGATGTGTCAGTGTTATGTTCTTTTTAGTGCTGCCCCCAAGTGGAGAAACCACGTATTGCAGGTTTAATGAGCTGCAGGTGTGCAGTGGGCATGGTGGCTTATAAAAACCCTGAGCTTCTCCTTGCAGTTTCCCCCAGTGATCTCCTCAGGTTGGTCATATTTTAGCATCTCTGATCTCCAATAAGCATGATTGACGTTTATTTTCAATGCTTACTTTTGTTGTTTCTCTCCAATAAGTGCATGATGTATTGGTAATTGCCTTTTTATCTTGGTAAATCACTTTTCTTCTATCTACTTGTTGCCTTCCATAAATGTAACCAGCATGTACACATATCTTTAAAAAATACACTTTACTAATGCATGGATTTATGTTTTATTTCAACTGATTCTAAATGTGACTTGCTATCAGCTGGTGGTGCTTCAGTGAAGGTTGCTGCAGCTGTCTAATCAAAGCCAGATCCAGAGATGTTTCGGAGCCTGCTTCTCACCATCGTGTGTGGATATGCATCGGCCGTGCTCAGTTCAGAACTGGATCGACACTGGGTGTTATGGAAGAAGAAGCATCAAAAAGTCTATGGACACGAGGTAAAACTAAAGTCTTAAGTTATCTTAAGACTTTAATAATGTGTGGAGTTTGGGGTTTAGGCATGAAAGCCAATTGAAGTTGTCATCTCCTTATTGCATTAATTCTAAAATTGTAACCATTTCTCTTTTTTACAAGGGAAATGCCTATCAATCGTATAAGTCTTCACCTCTTGGTAATTTCAGTCCGGAGGATTTTACTCATATCGCATGTAGTTACTGTGACTGTGCTGTGTTTCCAGATTGAGGAGCTGGGGCGCAGGCGGATCTGGGAATCCAACTTGGACATGATTAATGTACACAACCTGGAAACCTCCCTGGGCCTGCACACCTATGAGCTGGCCATGAACCACTTGGGGGACCTGGTAAGTAAACTATTATTGGATTGAAACATTGGATTATGTTCATTATTTATTTTTTGAAACTGTTTCTTTCCGAGACAAATGGACAAACTGACTTGCAATCTTTTGTTTTGTAGACCTCTGAGGAGATCTTAGGCACTCTGATGGGCACCGTCGTGCCCTCTGGCCTGACCAGGGGTCCTCCCAACTCTTTCGTGATCAACGTCTCTCTACCGCAAGCACTGGACTGGAGGAAAGAAGGCCTGGTAACTGAGGTCAAACAGCAGGTGAGGGATACCTTTTTAAATAATCAGTTCATATCAACAGAAAACTTGATTGGGTTTTGTAGCTTAAGACAAAGACTGCAGTCGACTAAAGGAACAAATCACATCCACTTTTCCTTGACCTCGAGGAAAAACCTCTTGAAGGGAAGATGTCAAGGATAATTCACAAGGACTTAAAAGTGGACCACTGTGCTAATCGAATCAAACTGTACTTGCACTCGGCTGTTTGTGGTTATTAAAGCATCTTTAAATATTTTTATATTCTACCATGGATGGTTATTTAGCTTTAATTACGGTGCGCTTGCCTCTTTATTAGATTGTATTCTACTTATTGTATTTGCCTTTTTTAAATCCAGTGGCTGTAACAATTACAATTTCCAAACTGTGGGAGCAATAAAGGATTTCTGGTGGTAGTGTGCCAATTTGGACCCATGTTTAATCAACTTTTTCTCACTTCAAGGGTTCCTGTGGCTCTTGTTGGGCCTTCAGCGCAGTTGGAGCTCTTGAAGGACAACTTAAGAAGAAAACCGGCGCCCTGACGTCCCTCAGTCCTCAGAATCTGGTGGATTGCTCCCTTGTGTACGGAAACCATGGGTGCCACGGTGGCTTCATGGCAAACGCCTTCCAATACGTCATTAAAAACAAAGGAATAGATTCAGAAGCAGCTTACCCCTATGTTGGCTGGGTGAGATTCCTAAGCAATGAATGTGTTTTTAATATTCAAAGTTTAACCCTACTGTAACTCGCCTGAAAATTGCTTTCTTTACAGCGTGGTAGTTGCAAGTATAACCCAAATTACCGCGTCGCCAACTGCTCAAGCTACGCCTTCATCGCAGAGGGCGATGAGTTTGCATTGAAGGCAGCTCTAGCTAAAATTGGCCCTATCTCTGTAGCAATCGATGCCTCCAGGCCCAAGTTTATCTTTTACAGTCATGGTGAGAAGATGCTTAATACCTCTTAAATGACAAGTTTAACCTTGGTTGTAAGTTTACATAAAAAATGTTGGGATCTTTGTGAATGTTTTCCTGAAGTCTTTACCTGTTGTGTGACCCTACAGGAGTGTACAGGGACCACAGCTGCACCCACAATGTGAACCATGGCGTGCTGGCTGTGGGCTATGGCACCGAGAATGGACACGACTACTGGCTGGTCAAGAATAGGTGAGTCTGAGATTTTAGCATTGAATGGGAATGTATAAAACGTTATTTCTGTTTTATAATCTAAATGTTCTTCAATTGTAGCTGGGGTGTAACCTATGGAGAGGAAGGCTACATCAAGATGGCTCGAAACAGACGTAACCAGTGTGGGATCGCTCTCTACGCTTGTTACCCCATCATGTGATCAGCAGATGGCCTGATATTTAAATGTATATTTTCTCCACAGGAGTTTTAATTTAATAAACAGTTTGATCCATAACTTGTGTTTTTCCTGTAGTGGGTTTGTGTTTATTTCCGTGACATCACTGCGTAACACTTGCAGTTCTATTGGCTAGCGCTCCAACACGTTGAACATGATGGGCTATATGGCAGGACATCTCCAGGTGGTTAACGGAGCCACCTAGCTAACCAGAGCAGACTGGGCTCTGGTTTCAGACAGAGGGTGAAAAAAGGTGCTGCAGTATGAGGAAAAATAAAGCACTTTTGGAACATTGAACGGTCATAGAAGCACAAAATATGAAACTGAAATTGAGCATAATAGGGGCCCTTTGGATCACCTATTATGCAAAATCCACTTGTTCATGTTTCTTATACATAAACACGTCCCCTCTGTGTAAAGAGACTCTGAAAGTTTCAGGAAAAAAGATTCACTCTCTTTTTGTCCTGACCCATTTATAGAAAGACCTGTCTGAAAATGAGCTGATCAGATTTTGGCCACTTTGTCATAACGATTTTTTAGCTTGTGTAACCATTAGCCAATAACCAACCAAGGTAACACCCCCCCCCC